TTCTTTGGAAGAATTTAGCTATGGAAAGAATGATATCTGGAAGTAACCATGTGTGATGGATAATTGGAGACCGGACGGAAAAGTTGGAGGCAAACGAGATGGGGTTCGGGGTGCTTTGTTAGTTTCCGCTCTCAGGTCGATTAAGGACCGACCGTTGTTGGGCCTCGAGTCATGTTGAACGCATGCCTTACATTTAGCTGGCCGGATAAAGTACCTTCCGACCGCTGAAGCCGGGAGATTTTTCGGGCGAGTAGATTGCCCATGCAGCAAGACCTTTGTGCGTGGGCAGTGTGTGGTAGGACACGGGGCGGGATGATAAGACCAAAGTGCAATCGGTCGGCCCCGGGTACATGTGGTTCTGGCAAACTCGAGATACCGAAAAGTTGACTCGGTGATCAATATCTCACTTTAGCGGGTGAGTGAGGTTTGTGTAAGGAATAAATCACCGGTGGTTAGGAATCGATTCGAATCGCCATCGCTCCGGATAGTGAGCACTTGACTCGAAAGTTATTGCATCGTAGTAATTATTATGGAACAATGATGGTTATCTGGATGGTATGGGATATGCTAAATCTAAATTGGTAAGCTGGATGTTATTGGTTAATCAAGTGATTGCTATAGTACGTGTGCTTACCTAGATGGATAGGTCATAATAAAGATGATGCAAAGTACTTAAAATGGTTTCTTCATGATAGCTTATGCTTTTCGCAAATAAGTCACTAGCCCACTAAAGAAAGCCTTGCATAATCCTTGGTGTCACTTTATTTACGGTTTACGACGGGTAAGTCCGGTGAGTACATTCGAGTACTGTGGTTTATCCCACCTTGTTGCGGTGAAGTTCTCGACTGTTGATGATGGTGGCTAACCACCGGTGGGCTTGGTGATTCTATATTTACTTCTCATCTATATGCTTTTGTCGGATGATGTCACTTATGCTAGAAATATATTTGGAACTTATATTAATGTAATCATTTGAAAGCTATGTTGTTTTCACTAAGCGGTTTTGAAACCCAAATTTGTACTATTATTTGTTAAACCCTTTGTAACATTATTTCCGCTGCAACCCGATGTATGTGATGTGTATTTGCTTAATCACGCGATCTTGGTTGTGATGTTGATTTACCGAGGTCTTTCGGGACACTCGGCGGACTACCGGGTTTATATGAGTGAAAGTATGGGTGTGTCAACGTGTTAGCGGGGACAACCATACTTGATCTTGTATAAATTGGGCGGTTCTGTCACAGTCGGGTATAGCAACTTCCTATGATCCTCAAGCATGCGCTCGAACTTAACTTTCTCTTTTTCACTTTCGCATTCTTGTTGTGCATCACGAATGGCATCGCCAAGAGCATCATCGAGATCATCTTCTACCGCTACCTCTTCTTCATCTCCCCCCATTGTAGTATCATCAAAGACACCATACTGAGCAATAATGTCATCAATGTCTAAATCTTCTCCTTCACCTTCTTCCATCATAACCCCGCTTTCTCCATGCTTACTCCAACATATATAGTTTGACATGAAACCTGACTTAAGCAAATGTGAATGAAGACTCATTGAGCTTGAATATTCCTTTAAATTCTTACATAGGGCACATGGACAGCACATGAAACCATCCTGCTTATTTGCCTCGGCCACACCTAAGAAATAGTGCAAGCCCTCAATAAAGTCTTGGGAGCGGCGATCGGCATTGTACATCCAATGGCGTGACATAATCTGTATTACACGACAAATTATGAAAACCTTGAACATAATTAAGTATTTTATTACACAACATAGATGACACACACACGGTTGATTAATTAACTAAGCCTGGCTACAACGTAAGCAATCCCAACTATCACTAAACAAACTAAAACTACAATGCACTTCAGTAACATAATTATTTCGTGATCGTACGCAACTAAAACAGACAAATCATTCTTCTGTTGAATATCAATAAGCTTCTCCCTTTGGCTCATCGCCTCATCATCGCCAGAAGATCGAATTCTCGCACGTATGTAGCATAATCTTCCTCCCAGTACCAACCATCGCATCCATTGCCCTCCCCCTTTGAAATTAAAGCCAAAAATATTTAGTCAAAAATATTCAAGAAAAGCAGGTCAATTAGCCATAATAATCAAATGTGTAAGAAACTCACATCGCGATCCGGGCACTTGTAGAAAACACGACCCTTGTTGGGTCCCTGTCTCTTGACTCGGTACTCCATCACAATCTTACGCTTACACTTGCCGCAGATAATGAGAGGGAGTTCGGCCTCGATCGTTTTTCAAGAACCGAACGAGAGGCCGAGGATCCGTAGCGATTGTCATCTACTTTCTATACTTATTTTTGTAAACCATCAGTAAATTTCACATTTTCTAAAATAATATATTTAAATAAAACTAAAATTATTTATTTATCTAACTAAACCATGAAATATGTACTATGTATAATAGTAAAATACCAAACTATCAAGTGATTTTACTATTGTAAATCATCATGTGATTTTGAGGTAAAATGACATAGAAATCACATAGCTCAAAAAACATGTTTCAATAAATAACCATCCGCATTTAGTTGACCTTGCTTACGTGATCATCTCGGAGTATTTCTCTCCACGGACGGCATCGTGATTTTGGCCAAGGAAGAGCTCCGATTCTACGAGGAAGGGAACACAGTCTTCCACGACCGTTGCGCTCTCCCTCGTGAGAATCAAAGCTCCTCCTTGACGTCCGTTACCGCTCAGCAGAGAAAATGCTCGCCGAGATGATCACGGTCCGTAAGTTCAACTAGTACGGATTTTCTACAATTTTCTAACTATTTTCTAAGTTTTTCATTTCATGAAAAAATATTAATTCTAAGATCACGTAAGTCGCTGGGGACGAGGATGGCGCGTGCTCCAGCGAGGACGAGCGAGGCGTGATTTTAATGAACTAATTTAAATTTTGTTTATCCAAACATATATGCAAATCATCATGTGATTTTGAGCTAAAAATGACATAGAAATCACATAGCTCAAAAACATGTTTCAATAAATAACCATCCGTACTAGTTGACCTTGCTTACGTGATCATCTCGGCGAGCATTTCTCTCACCGGACGGCACCGATTTGGTTAAGGAAGAGCTCGATTCTACGAGGAAGGAACACGGTCTTCCACGCATCGTTGCCGCTCTCCCTCAGAGAATCAAAGCTCCTCTTTGACGTCTGTTACCGCTTCGGCGGCAGAGAAAATGCTCGCCGAGATGATCACGGTCCGCAAGTTCAACTAGTAACGGATTTTCTATAATTTTCTAACTATTTTCTAAGTTTTTCATTTCATGAAAAAATTAATTCTAAGATCACGTAAGCCGCCGGGGACGAGGATGGCGCGTGCTCCAGCGAGGACGAGCGAGGCGTGATTTTGATGAACTAATTTAACTTTTGTTTATCCAAACATATATGCAAATCATCATGTAATTTTGAGCTAAAAATGACATATAAAATCATAATAAAGTCCAACATATAAAGTTACACATGCATCTACATCGCAAAATGAGATAAGCTACTGATAAAACATAAGATGATTAAGTTTGTTACCTCTAAAATCGAAGAGCAACACCAATGGAGGGGGAAAGAGCAAGAACAACAGCAAGCTGAAGAACAGAGGCAGTGAGTTTGAATGGAATGGCTCGGGCTCGGGGAGGAAGAAATGAGCCGTTGTATAGGCCCACATAATTAGTCCCGGTTAGGTGGCCAAATCGGGACTAAAGATTAATATTTATTTCCAGGATATCACCCAAACCGGGACTAAAGGTTGCCACTCGGACGACCGTTGGGCAGGGACCTTTAGTCCCGACGGCAAAAAATGCCGAGGCTAATGCCAAATTAGGACATCGTTCTAAAGTCTGTTCTCTAGTAGTGATTACACATCTAATCATATCATCGGATGGATACGTATCCTTTGGTTGTGTTAGTGAATGGTTGGTTAGGACAAGACACCATTTCAACGTACCCATCACACATATATATTCCAACAGAGATCAATGAAAGTAGAGTAGTTTTAATCCTTTGTTCAGGTTTTATTTATTTTTTCAACATATTTAGAGATGGAAACTTGTTAAAGAAAGAAAGTTCGAGATTCATGTGGCTCATGGGTAAACACACTTTGAAACAACACAATTAGCTGCGCATGGGCTCAAGCACCCGCTTTCTTCCCAGGGTAAGCCCTTCACAACCTGACAACTTTCGGGAAAGGAAAAGGTTCATATGACCTTCCTTAATTATTGCGCAAGTCCAACTTACCTTCTGTAATTATTACGCACCGGAAGCACATGATCGAGTAGGAAGATAGTTTGGATGGGTTTGGATGCTAGATTTCATGCGTTTCCTAAAATAATGCTCTATATTATGGTGACTAGATTAAAAAAATAAAGTTGCTTTCATATTTGCTGAAGTCAAAATAATTTTTCTATGAAATTTCTAAAGTTAAGTTAGCTTTTAGTATTTCTATAAATGGATATTTATTTTAGAAAGATATCAGATATTTTTTGAAAAAAAACATTTCTACAACTTTTTGATAAAGTTGATTGATTTCTTCAAATTATCGTGAAAGTCTAATTTACCTTCTCATGGTTGATGTGACGTCATAAATTGAGTGGTTTTAAAAGTTAGAGGAGCCCAAAATCTAATCTAATTTTATGATTATTAAGAGAGGTAAATCGGGCAATAGTTTTTTTTTTTTTGAAGTGACGTCCCATATAACTTTTCCCTTCGAGCAACTCGTCCGGCCCAGGCGCTGCCAAGCCGCACCTACGGCGCGCTTCCACGTCCACCTCCCAAGTCCCACCCACCAACCCAACCTTAACCTACGGCCCGGCCCGGCCCGGCCCGTAACGAAGCGGTTCGGGGCCACCCAGCTGCCACGTCCAAGACGTTCGTTCTCCCCGTCTCGCTCGCCGTCGGCGGTCGGCCGATCTCACTCTCTCTCCGTGCCTCTCGCCTTTTTGCAATTTTTTCCTCGCCCGCCACCCAAGCAGCCATGGCGGCCGCGCTGCTCCGCCGCGCGCTCCACCTCCGCCGCGTGCTCCCCTCGACCACCGTCACCGCCGCCGCCGCCGCCTCCGCGCAGCGCCTCGCCGCCGCCTTCTCGACCACCCCGACCCCGACCCCGACGACCTCCCAGCAGAACGCCGCCACCACCACGATCGACCTCTCCTCCGACGAGAGCCGCCGCCGCCTCCTCAACAGGTGCGTGCCCGTACCTTACCCCAGTCTCCGGTTGTGGTTCGCGCTTGATATTCCGTTGGCCCCCTTTGTTGAATCCCGAGTCACTACGGCGCTGTACAGGTTGGTGTACCGGAGCAAGCAGCGGGGGTTCCTGGAGCTGGACCTGGTGCTGGGGACCTGGGTCGAGCAGCACGTGCACGGCATGGACGAGGCCAACATCAGTGCCCTCCTGCAAGTGCTCGACCTCGTAAGCTCTCAGCTCTGCTGCCTGTGGTGTGGGCGTGGCCGGCGCCGACCAATCCCTCTTCCTCTATCGTGTCCCGGGTTATCTGTGGTAGGAATTGCTTCAGCGGTGGAAGAATTATAGATAGTTTAGATAGGAACGACCAAGGATTTGGGGAAGGTTAGCAAGAGGAGCAGGGTAACGGGAAGGGGGGTAATGGGAAGGGGACAGAAGCTTATGGAAGGAGATCAGTTCAGCTTTCTAAGTGTTGAACATTTGGTTCCAGGGCTCGAGTCTAATTTAATCGTCTGATTGTTCATCTCTGCCATCCTGTTCGAGTAATTGATTGGTTAATTGATTGTGCTGGTTAGTTGCTGAGTAATTTGGTATGTGGTTTCATGTTAAACCATGCTGTTCCCTCACTCCTCAATCCTCATGTATGTTAGCAACATTAGGAGCCATACTTGATCGATGTAGCTGAAAGTGGCTTTGTTGTTAGATGGCCAAATCATGTTCTAGCATTTCATTTTTAAATAAAATTTCTAATCACTATTCTTCCATTCGAATAGCCTTAAAGGTTGAATTTTCTTATTAGCATTTGGAGCTGTGCTTGATGATGTCAAATTATTTAGATTTTGGGAACTACACAGAACAGAAGTCTCCTGAGTCAAGGTCACATGAATATAAAAGCTCCTATATTAAGGTTACACAAGTGTAAAACCTACGGAGTATGATAGTAATTTATGATTCGTACGGGATCATGTTTATCCTGCTCTTTTAAAATAAATTTCAGTTGCTACCTACCAGTTAGTCTTGTTTAGGGCAACGTATCTCTGTGAATTCAGGGCCTGCTTGGATGCCTCGCCGCTAGCATCACTGCACAAGTCAATCCTTGCCAGAGGAGGCGAGCCGAACGCATCTTGCCCTTAGCTTCCTTGCTGGGCGAGGCTAGGCTAGTGCTTGCCTGAGAACCAACCACGCGCTTAGTGTCTGCATTATGCTACGCTGAGAAAAAAAGGATGTTTTGAGGGTGGAGGGTGGGCGTAGCACTGGCATAGTTTGCAACTTTGCATGCTCATGTACTGTCTTGTTGCTGTACACATATTGAACTTTGAATCAACAGAAACCAAAGCCAGAGCTCTGTGCCTTCATGAAAGATGCATGTTTATAGGCATAACATGATGGAGCTTCACAATTTCTAATAAAAAGGGCAGATCCAGTGCGGAGGCTCCCACATGAGTGGGGGTCTGGGAAGGAAAAACCGAGGCAAGCCTTCCCCCGCAAATCTGTGGAGAGGCTACTTGAACCCACGACCTGGGTGACTCGGTGAGACAGCTCTCACCACTGCACCAGGCCTGCCCTTCTCACAATTTCTAATACTAATTAGAAAGTTACATGCTGTTTCCTAGTTGCTTGCCAGTCTGAGAACTTCTTTCAATAATTCTGCTTCAGTTATATCATTGGATCAGGGCCACTGACAGGTCCGAATCATCCCAGCTACCCGTATCAATGTTATTATTTACCCAGACAAAGCATTCCATCAGATTACTCGTAATTTATCAGGTTAGTAATTAGGTGCCTTAAATCTTACCTTTAGTCACAGATGAACACAAATTCCATTCTGTATGATGATTTTTGCTTTCAAAAGCTACTATAGACTCAGGACATTGGAAATGCCGGAGCGAGTGGTGGTGAACTGTAGTTATTAAAAAATTCTTTTCTCCAATATTTACTTTGAAATCTGTATGCATTCTAATTCTAGGACTGTTTGATTCCCCAGGAAAACCCAGATTTGTGGAAATGGCTGACTAGTCAGGAGCAGCCACCAGAGGATCTGAATTCTAATCCGGTATGACATTCGGCAACTGTTGTTGTGTGCATTCGTCTTTCTTGTAGGAAAAATTGCTGCTTTAATGGACAATTCATGTTCAAATAGGTGTTTGCTGCCATCAAATCAAAGGTAACAGATAACCTAACCAAGCATGCTTCTCCCGAGACCCGATCAACACCAGGTCAACCATGGGTTAGAGGATGGGACGACATAAAGAAAGGCAAAGATGGACCCAAGTATGGAAATCAGTGATAAGCTGCTTGAAATGGGGATGAGAGCTTTACATCCTAAATAATAGCTTTGTCCCTTTCCCCCGTCTGCTTGTTTTGTGCTTGTGTAGAATAAAGTGAACTGTGACCGGCATGTGTGAAGTTTGTTGAAATGATATCGGAGAATCAGCTTGTAACTATGGATGACACTACTGATGTGTCCCTGGCAGCTTCAGGTATCGTCTACTACTGGAAAGATGTTATGCATTGCGGTCTGTTAGTGATGGCAATCATTGAAGCATTTGGACTGAAACATAAATATTGAAATGTGGACAACAAACACCATGGTCAGAAAGTTAGAAGTATATGCCATTGGTGCAAACTCCTGCCTGATGAGTAGCCTTATATTCTGAATAGCTCATTGCTTGTGATGAGTACTACACCTTTTTTCCTTGTGGATTTGCTAGCGCCCGGACGTCTGTGCGGGGCGCTAGCGTCCGGCCGCTGCCACGCAGAGGGAGCAACCGAGCACATAGCGCGTCGGGCTAGCGAGGGAGCGCACCAGCAGTGGGCCCACGTCGCCCCGAACATCGCCTACGCTGCCTTGAACGTCGTTGTGCTGGCGGTTGCTTCCCACGCGCATTTCATATGAAACACCGATCTACTTTTGAAGCATCCAGATACAACAGTTGCAACATACAAATGAAAACAAATGAAATGAAACACTTAAGACACTTAGAAACATTCGTCTGGAGCAGATATGCAACATCCAGATCTAGTTTTGCAACATCTAGATAAAACACTTGAAACATTCGTCTGGAGCAGATGAAACATTTGGAATATATACTTAAAACATACGTTTATAGTCATTACAACATTTGTAACATCCCGATCTACTTTTACAACATCGATATACAACACTCGTAATATACCTCTGAAACACTTGAAACTTACTATTGCAACATACGCTTTTCATTATAACATCTGCTTGCTGCTTGGACGAATGGAGACTCGTCGACGCGGAGCTAGATGCCGCAGAGTGGCGCGGAGGTCGTTGGTGTGGAGCTCGTCGACGACACGGACCTCGGCATGGGGCAGACCGATGGAGCGCGGCCGCGACGGGAGGTGCGAGTTCCGCCGGGGCACGTGGCGCGGCAGGGGGCGGGGACTTGGGCGGGGCTGCACCGCGCGAGCAGGGGTGGTGTGACCGAGGGCAGGGTCTGTCTCGGAGCAGAGGCGCGCAACACGCTGAGCGAGCAGGCCACGCAAGCGAGGGCGACGCGGGTGAGGCGCAAAGTGAGCAGGCGAATTATATGGGTCCGTCTGTCTAGATGGATGACCTATAAGCAGCATTACCATTTTCCTTGTTAACTACTGATAAGGCATCTATTATGACCGTGGTGTTACATTGCTATACTCCTGAGAACATTGTGTTTATGTTGGCATGATAGTCTTGAGACTAAATTGTCTGTTGCTAAATTCAGTTTAAACGCAGCAATGCAAGAACTGAAAATTGTGAATGTTTTTTTAAGAACTGTGAATGTTGCATAGTTCAAATGTAGTTCTTTCATTGCTGCATTGTCAGAGCTCTGGTAGAAACTGGATTATTTGAGCTCAGTCTTCAGTATCAGCAGGATTATATATACTGGGTCAATGTGCAAAGAAACTGTCAGTGTAGTTTTCTGCTGGGATAGTAAATTGCAGAGTATTGATTTTCCACCATATATCCAGGACTAAGAGATAAACCATTTTGCAAAATGGTAATGCAATGCTCTATATGAAAAACAACTTCAGAGTGATTCCTGCTTAGATAGACAAATATCATCCGCAGCAAGCTGTCTTTTGTTTTTTTTTGGAGCCATAATTAAAATGTTTCAATATATGATACTGTATATCTCATGAGCCTGGGTGGCTAACCCTCGACCAGACTTCGAGAAGCCAATTTGTAGCTATCTGGTTGCCCGTAAATAGTCTAAAGTCAGGTCCAGATAAGCCACTTTGGAGGTCCCAGCCTAGACCTGGAAAACGAGAATCCGTTTTTTGAGCCTGGCTTGGCCTCGCGTCACCTCCCGGTCAACAACGCGGAGTTCTGGAGCAGACGCTCGACGATGGAGGCTCGATCCGAGGAGGACGACGCCGCCAAGGATCCCACGGCGAGCTCGCGAGGTGGCCGTGCTCGAACGGGCGTTGGGAAAGGCCGGTTTCCACCTTTGCCGGCGAGCTCCCGCGGTGGCAGGGCGGGTGTCCCGCGGGCGGGTGTCTCTGCTGCCGTGCTCGCGAGCGCCCCTCCCTCTCCACCGGCTCACCCTTCCTCTCCACCGGCGAGAACCCACTCCTCCCTCCCTGCGCTGCTCCTCCCTGCCGGCCTGGCAGCGTGCGCTGCCCCTCCCTCTCGCAGGCCTGCGCAGGCGCTGGCGGCGTGCGGTAGCGGCCGTGGGGGAGGTGGACGGCGGAGATCCAGGACCTGCACAAGGCGTCGCGCGATTTCGATCTGGGAACTTTCGATCTGGCCGCTCCATAGACCATAGTGTTCCACGAATTGCTGGAGTCGCAGGCATGGAGTTGAGAGCACCGCGAGCATGGAGTTCTCATCTTCAGTTTACATGCTAGTTTAGCCCTCAGCTTCAAACACCCTGTGAATCGTGAGAACAAAGACCCCATCTGAGTTCATCATTGCTCTTGATAGCAACAGCGATACAGACATTAGCCCCTGCTTCGATTCACGACGGGGTGACGCTCATTATGTATAAAGAAGCAGAGGTGACTCTATCCAAATTAAACCAGCCAACTAAACAAGATAACGTAGGCAACCAAACAAGTCTATCTTGACTTACTGGAGGCTATCTCAGGCTAGCATGGCTTATTTCCTAGCCAGACTAGAAGAAAACCAGGTAACCAAACACACCCCATCAGGCTGGTGCGAAACAGTGAAAACAATCAGGAAGTAACTAAACTATGCGAAAGCAATCAGGAAGCAACGGTTTTGTACATGTAAATCCTGTGCTGAACAGTCCACTTATTCCACTAGCCAGTGGCGGAGCTTGCATCCAAACCAAGAGGGGGCCATTTCGTAGATGAGCAACGAACAAGCAGCTAAGCTTATGACGGTCAGCGAGAGCAGAGTTGAATTGAGAGATATATAGGCATATAGTAGACTAGCAGCTCAACTCGATTTTTACTCACGTGGACTAGTGGCTGAGTCTCTAGAAATTTACATGGAGCAAGCAGGGGCCATCGCCCAGGATGGCCTACACATAGCTCCGCAGGTGCCACTACCCCGTACACTAAAAAGAAGGATGATACCATTCTTACAAACGAATGAAGAAATGAAAGAATAACACAAGCTATATTTAAGGTTACCACCTCCTACACCAGCAAACTGCTCAAAAGATAGGATCAGGGCAGGTCTTGCATCGCAAAATCTTGTCAGAATGATGTAATTATCGTGAAGCTTATGAACCAGCAGGGGCTTGCTGGGCTCGCATCACCTTTTCTTCAGTAGTTGTCCCTATGATCTCATTTGCGCGCTTCAATGGAACACATAGGATCCTCCCGATTGAGTCCTGAGTAGAGAATTATTGTAAGGTCCAACAAATTTGAAATCGACAAGGTTAAGAAATCATGAACCAGCAGATCACACTGAATCAAGAAAAAGTTACTGCTCAAGGATTAGACAAACAGACACTGGTCTGGACAGATACTTCTGTTATTGAAGATTTGTGTAAGTCACCTTTGCAGGAATTGTAGTAGAACTTACCCGAGAAACAATACCGAGTTTCTCTAGCTTCTTTACAGCATCCACGACATCAAAATTGCACTCCATACCAAACTCTTCTTTGATGAGCTGTTCGCAACGTAAATCAAGATCCTGGAAGGATGATAAATACAGCAATATCATAAACTTTGAAATGCTCTCTTAGAGTTTTGTATTAAGCCTACTAAGATGATGAAATTTGCCTGAACAACAACTGGAACTTACATACAGTATAATTATATGCTTAAGAACCTGTAAATCTATAACATGTGAAAAAAGAGCAAACACAGCAACTAGCAAGCAGGACTTCGATTGCACAAGGTTGTCTTAAAGCAAAACAGAGAACTAGGAGATATGCTTACCTGTACAGTGGCCTTTCCTTGCTCCATCAAAATATAGTAAGAAATGATAACCTCCTTAACCTGCAAAAGTGTTTAAGGATACATCAGTGGCACGCACAAAGCCAGTTAAATCTGTCAGGGATATAGTGAGGCTTGCATACTTCTTGCTGGATCACATCATCACACAAGTGAAGAAGTGTTCCTCTTCCACTATCAAGCTGCTTATCATACATTGACTTTGTAATCAAGTTTTGGTATCCAACCATATTTGCTTGGAATCTGTTTGGAAAGAGTGAAATCCATCATGCATTAGTGTAGTACCAGGAATTTCGTTTCAAGTACCTGGAATTTTACCAAATTGGTAGAGGTAATATTCTGTTAGGGGCTTACCTTCAGACATATATTAGTTATACTTATAGAGTAACATATGAGCAAAAGAAAACTTTCTTGTTGGGTAGTATAAATGAAATCACTTACGTGAAGTATGTCTTCGCACAGTATCCAATCAGACCAGATAAGATAGCTGTGACAACCCATATGTCAGCCTTTGGCATTTCTAGACTACCTATTAGAGTGACCTGAAAGGAAACACTATTCAGATGGTTGAACATAAAGAAGCAGCATTTTAATGATGAAAGAATCAGTGACATACCAAACCAATCACAGCAGAAATTAGAAATGTAACCCAATCCATCGGTGTTAAACTAGGGTTTTTCTTCTCTGGCTACAACACAAATACATAGTGATGACAGATACTTAAGGAGAGCAAATAAAACATGCCAAATGGTGCTTAAAATTAAGTGTCGGTACAAATTGTGTTTCCAGCAACCTATATATATTACCAGGACTAACTCCATATCGGCCATCGGAATGTGCTTGAAGTGCTTTACAAATATCCCTCGATCTGGCTTACTTTCTGAGCTAGCCCTCCTATAATGTTAGGATCAGAATAAGCAACTATATCGACATGTCAACTCCGAAGATAAGAGAATTGAAGAAGGCTAAAGGAAATGATAACCCATATAGAGTTATGTACCTATACACCACGATCATCCTTTCAAATGTAGGCTCTTGAATTGTCATTTTTCTTAATAGATTCTTTATGCTGTCATAAAATGGAATATAGCACACATTACCAAAGAAGTTCAACCCTAATTTACCAAAATTCATGTGAAGGAAGCACGATTCTACAACCTCAGTTCCATTTTCTCTAGACGAACACGCTCAACGTAGAGATCTGGCTCTTCTACATCATCATTTATTTCGTCAGTCTTCTTTGTGTCCTTTCTTGACAGTACTTGTTTCTTCGAGAACAATCTATCGATCTTGACATTAAAATATTGAATTGGGCGATGCCGACGCATTGTCAAAGGAACAACCATTCACTTTAATAAAAAAAAGGAAAGAACACTGATATCAGCATGCTATACCTTGTGATTCGAAGCAATGACCTCCATACTCGAGATATGATGACATCCACTTTTTCCATGAAGAAGTAGTCAGTTGTCCGATCAATTCCAATGCCCCGACGGAAGATAATATACTGTAAAGATATGTTTGATGTGAAATAACTACTATAACACTATATATACTGAACTATGAAAAAGGAATCAGGGGCATGCTAGCTTGGATGACCTTGAGAGCAATGGGTACCAAGGAAAGAATACTTGTGAAGAGAAAATTAGTACAAGCAAACAAATTTCCTCAGTTCAAGTAATTGTGCAGTTCAAGTAGGAAAGATGACTAGCAGAATGAACCACAGAGAATGCATACCTTATTAGCAAATGCTGGTAGATTGTCATGTGGGTGCTCCCTAAAGTACCTTGTCAATAACTTGCTGTCTACCTATAATTTGTTCAAATATAGCTAGTTGAAAGTGAAGTAGATTGCTGTGTTAGCATACATATTGAAAATCTTAAGTGACTTCATATACCTTGGATTCATCAACCTTGATCGGGAGGTTTAGAAGATACTGACCAGACTGCGCTACCTCATACTCTTCGTCAGATAACAACTTGAAGTTGCTCTTTTCCATAATCTACTTAAGGCCATGAGTAGTTTTTCGTTATTGTATAAAATCTCAGATACCATACTCAATAGGGTGGAAAGGAACAGAAAGTGGGCCAACCTGAAAAAGGTAGGTTAAGAAATTGAGTTCTAAAGTGTCAAGCTCATTGGATGTCATGCCCTGCTGCTCCAAACTCTTCTCGCCATTATTAACAGGATCGAATAAAGAAAACAGTTGCTGCATCACAGCAGAAAAATTAAGAAACTCGACTAACTTGGACTGTAAACAACGAATATAAGAATAGGTACAGACTATTAGATCATCAAACTGCAGAAGGTACCAAGCACGGATTGTGTACTCCACCCTCTTACATAGCTTCATGAACTCAGCACGGTCATTCTCACGCTCTGAAGAATAAATCAGGGGCATAAAATAGATATTCACGATTATTATGGCATTATGACGACGTAAATTAAATCACACAGTTTCAATTTCAAAATTTATAGACAGTATATTAGGATTAACATGGAGAAGTAAAGCAATAAATTTATTTATTATCCTTATCCAATAAAAGTCACATTATTCACTATAAAATAAAAATTTAGGATTAGCAGACAACTTAAAACTACATTCAGGATTAGCAAAAACAACAGAAAGTGTTATATTCACAGTATCTACAGCCCATGCGTAAACTGACAGCTTTTAGGTGACACGCAGTTACTAACACATAAAAAAAAATCTAAATACTGAGATCTATGGAGCAAAATACATTATACTGATCATTTTTTAGTTAGATTAAAGACAATTCATGGCAACCACATTAACTAACTAAAACTTCAAACGAAGATGAAGGATAAGTTTTTTTCTGGCAGCCGAGCTTATCAGTTATCACAAGTGTGTGACAAACGAGACTGGACAGAATAAGCCAATGACGTTTCCTTTACTCGGTAGCTGAGTGGAATTCAGACGAACTAACGAATCGCTGTCCCCAAAATCGCACAGTTCTCTCCAATGCGCAGCAGGAACTCGTTCCAATTAACGCCTCCAGAAACAAAAAAAAGGAAAAAGAAAAATAAATAATCAAATGATCACACAACGGAGCAGAGACAGCGAGTTTTAGGGAGTGCTGTCAATCACAGTACGATCACCGCATCCTTGCACCCGAGAAGAAAGAAATCCGAGATATTGGATCTCTTATCCCGTTTCCCATGAAAGGCGGCGGCGGTGATTTAACCAATCCATCCACGGCAAATGCACGCAGCGCAACCGGAGCAGGATCGAGCCAATGCAAACGAAACCAAGAGGCAGCATGCAGGCAGGCAGGCCGGCGGCGGCAATGGAAGGACGATCATAGATAGATACCGATGAGGTAGCTGAGCTTCATGACGAGCTTGGGCTTGAGGATGGGGATGACGGACTCGCGCTCGAGCCGTATCACCTCCTTGACCACCCCGTCCTTCTTCGCCTTCTTCATCGCCTCCGCCGCCGCGGGCCTCGTCCCTCCCGTCTCCGCCTCCATCAGCGGCCCGGGCGGTCGGTCCAATGTATAGAGGCGCCCGGGCGGGATCGGATGCGATTCGAGCCGTGGAACCGGGGCGAAGGATGGCGTCGGTTCGCGGGAAGACGGAATGCAACGGCGGTGCCGGGAGACTGGAGGGAGGACGGGGAGGGCCGGGGGCGATGCTGCTTCGCGCCTTTTCGCGGTGGCGGCACGAGGGGAGGGGGATTTGGCAGGGTGATTAAATAACCGTCGATTAATCATCATGCGTGGTTGTGATTAATTAGCGACGTAAGCTGTGACGACTCGAGCGCCGCAGCCACCAGATAATTCGGGGTGCTGACACCCTCGAGGAAGTAGATTTTAAGGGCACGTATATTGGCATTGCCTTATACATAATCTCATGTAGTGCCACGTAATTACGAGACGACTTAAGAGTTAACACGTATAATATTGTCTTATATTTTTTTGGCATCATTCTGACCAAGTCTGCTGAAATATTGATGCTATGTTGCAGGTGTTGGATTTTAATTGGACGTACATGGTCAATTTTAGTTCAATTAATGTCGATAAATTTGAAGGCCTACATTAAATGCTAGATACATTGAAGTCTCGGTCTCACATAAGATTTTGGCAAAAATTGACTCAATAAATACGTCGCTAGTGTATGTGCCTATTGTCAAGTTGGGAGAGATGAAGGACGCTACTACGCGCGCGTCGAGCCGGAGTCATTATTGGAACTGGAATGACGATTGCAGGAGTGGTTCGCTGCGGCAATTTCTATCCGTTACACCCAACAATTACTCCGCTTATTCCTCCTGGTAACGTCTCGTGCATACCTAAAATTCTATCACACCACCACTGCTCTCTATTGTCGTTGCTTCCGAGTTTCTCCATCTCGAGAACACCTGTTGTCACAGACAACCTGAAATTCCACCACACCACCTGTACTATTCTCTGTTGTCGCTGCTTTCAAGTATATACTTCAAATTAGCTGCTAGTTAAGTAATGTGTGGTATTTCAAGATTAGCAACGACTTGTGTACAGTCTTGGAGCCCTACAGCCTGTTCGGCTGGCTAGGCTGGATCGTGGATTATTTACTGCTGGCTGGTTTGGCTGGTTTGGTGTGAGAGAAAAATACTGTTCCAGCTTATAATCCACGATCGTATACAATCGTTTACGGCCTACCGAACAGGCTGCTAGTAGTATATACTGTAGCAAGACAACGCATTTGCAGTGCAAAGGAAAAAGAACTGCAAAATGGAACGAATCCTGTTCCCGGCATCAAATGGATCTCTTCTTCATTTAAGTGTAGACATTGTTGAGGTAGAAGTACAGGCCAGCCAGGGCAATGATCCCGGCGACAATAGCAATAGGCAAGGCTTGCCTGCAAAACATTTTGTTAATTCAGTCAATTGATTAATTAGCTGTACAAATGTTGCTGAATTCATGCGTATATTAATAGTTAATTGCTTTATGTGTTGGTTCTGTTTTGTGTGTCTTGAGTTAGGTATGTTACCCCAAGGTTTCCTCTTTCTTCAGCTGCTCCTTCCTTGCCTTCCTAACATCAGTGGAGTTTGCATTCTTAGAGACTGCAGGCTCGTAGGGCCTGAACCTTCTCTTTGGAGCTCCACAAACTGCATCAGCGATGTGGGAACAACAGATCAAATATTGGAGGGAGCATCTTCTTTTGCTGTTCGTAAATAATCGAAAATACTTGTATATATGTATGATAACATTTAAAGTTAGTGTTCTTAAAAGAGTCCACTTGCTATCAATTTTGCAAGGTGTTTGAAATAGTGCGCAAGTTCACTACTCCCCCGTTCCAAATTATAAGTCGCTTTAACTTTTTTAGTACATCGATTTTGCTATGTATATAGATATAACATATGTCTAGATACCTAGCAAAGCTGATATATCAAGAAAGTCAAAGCGACTTATAATTTGGAACGGATGGAGTATATGGTTCTTCAAATTGTTGCCATGAAAACTCACGCCAAGTTTTGTGACAAAATATACATGCTGGCATTGGCAACACAGCAGAGCCCCTCAGGCACTACATTTACACAAGTAGTATATTCCAGTTTAGTTTCGAGCAGAGGCACTTGTTCTTTATACATAGCTGCATAGAAATTTCATATATAAATAAATACTATAATGCAACAAGCTTCCTTAGAAATACCGAATACTCCATTTGTATGTCCTTGTTAACGTTTTGCCATGCATTGCAATTGCAAGAGGACATCTGAAACACTTTCGAAGTTATCATCCAAAACCGGATACAGAGCTATTTGCAATGGTTGCATCAATCAAGTGTAAAAAGAAAACAAAATCAACCAGATAAGAAGAACAAGGAGGACACCAGAACTCATGCTCACCAGGGCAGAAGTAGTTATCGGCCAGCTTGTCGAACGGCGTCCTGTCGTTGTAGATGTACCTGCAACAACACAGACAGAGAGAGGCAAATCAGGCACCAGCACGACGGCACCCCTGAGCACGAAGTCGGCGGCGTGCGCGGGCGAAAGAGCCCAGCTTTGGCTGTCTCACCCGCAGTCACGGCAGATGTAGGACTGCTTGGACGCGACCCGCATGGTGATCCGCGCGGCCGTGGCCGCCCTGGCCACCCGCCGGCGCGCCGGCGCCAGCCGCCGCAGCGAGCACGGCGCGGATAACGAGGACCGGAGCGGCGACGCGGGCGCCGGCGCGCGCAGAAGAGACGACGGGGCCTGCAGGGCCATCTCGCCGCACGCAGGCTGCTGCAACGAGAGCAGCGGCCGAGAATCGAACGAGCGACGAGTAGCAGAGCAGGCGGTGGTGGGCCTGGTGGCGAGGAGGAGATAAGAGGGATGGAGAGGCGATTGGTGGCAGGGCAGCGCCGTCGCTGGTTTTCCCTCTGTCCCTTTTCGCCTTTTGGCGCGCGCGTGGCGTGAGGTGGAGCCGTGCAGGTGCTGCTGGCCTACTGACTGGCGCAGCCACTGCGGGGTCCCTTCCCTGGGCAGTGTGGAAGCTGCGTGGCGTCCATGGTGACCCTTCGCTCGCTACCCCTTGTTCTCTGGACGCCCTCGCCACATGGCGCTCTGCATCTGCCTCGTAACTACGTGGACCGGCCTCTCGCCAAGGTGCCAAACTGCCAAGTGCCAACCCAGCAGCGCTAGCCCACCACCAGTTGCTCCAAAACTTGACGGGCCCGGGCCTGGCCTAAAAAAAAAAACCGCAGACGTGTACAGCTACTTTTTCTCAGGATCCGGGTGCTAGCCATCCATTCATATTCCCTGCAGGGATGGGCCCTCGCTAATTTTCTCCGTCCGCGACGCATAACTGGAGAAAACGGAGCCGCACGACAGGAGAAAACGGAGTCGTCCGTGTAGTCCGTCTCCCCTAATCACGTGCTTATCATTTTCTGGCCCCACATTAAATTCCCGCCAGTTGAATTAAATAAAGTAGGCAAAAGGCGTGAGCCTGTGAAAATGGCGCCAATTATAATAGTTGGTTCCATCAGATTAGCACCTAGGTACGGAAGGGTAATTAGATTAGCATTGTTCTTGTTTCTCTCAATCTACACAAAATTGCATCTCAGCCAATTCTCTCTATGCCTGACGAGACCGGTGCCGACGAGACCAGCTTCGTGGGGGCATCTCAGCCGATTCCCCCCATGCCTGACGCGGCTAACTACATGGAGGCCGATTCTCCGCAGGTACCCAGAATCTTGATACGACCTCTCCTGTTGCTGTCACATCCTCACAGAATTTCTCTAGATCAACATTCCCTCATCTGACAGAGCAAGAATTGAGTTAGAAAATGCAAGTCATATTGGATTACCATTCATATTCATAATCTATATTTGTTTTGTCTATGCAAATATATTTGAAATTTAACCGCCATTGCAAGTTTGCATGATTTCTAACATATTCTGCATGAAACCCACTACAAATCCAGACCGAACTTACTCAGGTAGAAAATTCTACGGGAGACAGGATACCTAAGGTTGGTATGAAATTCTGCACTGAAGAAGAGGCATACCAATTTTACAATGCCTATGCTCGAGACAAGGGTTTTAGTATTCGAAGGAGCAGTTCACATAATGTGAAAAACAGCACCACCATAAAGTATATAACCTTTTGTTGTTCTCGTGCAGGTATTAAATCACTTTTGTTTTGTGCCACTTTCTTCATCATTAGGGATAGAACATCATTTTGATCAATTATTTATTTATCAATAGGTGTTCGGCGTCCTGATAAAAAAGAAGAATATTCCAGCTATAGTAGACCAGAGACACGATGTATGTGTGAAGCTAGCATGAAGATAAGTCTTACAGATGGATTGTACTGCATTTATGAGTTTGAGCCTGAACATAATCATATTCTTGCTACTAGCAGTCAAGTTCATCATTTAAGATCTCAAAGAAAAATAACAGAAGCACAGCTTGCGAGTGTAGAAAATGCTAAAGCAGTCGGCATTTCAAATAAGGCTACCTTTGATCTCATGGCAAAAGAATCAGGTGGAGTTGAGAATCTTGGATTTACTCGTGAAGATATGAAGAATAAATTGTATTCAAAGAGGTCACTACAGATAAACCATGGGGACATGGGAGGAGTATTGGAATATCTAGAGAAGAAAACATCAGAAGATGGGAAGTTTTTCTATTCCATTCAGGTTGATGAGGATGACTTGATAACAAATATTTTTTTGGACAGATTCTAAAATGGTCGCAGACTATGAAGTTTTTGGTTATGTTGTTTGCTTTGACACAACATATAGAAAATTAAATGACGGACGTCTATTTGGTTTGCTAGTTGGAGTGAATAATCACAAGAAAACAACAATTTTTGGTGCTGCACTTTTGTATGATGAAACTGCTGAGAGTTTTGTTTGGCTTTTCAACACATTCTTAACGGCTATGTCAGGCAAGAAGCCACAAACCATTTTAACCGATGAAGATGCAGCAATGGTTAAAGCAATCAAGATAGTACTGCCAGAGACTCATCATAGAATTTGTATTTGGCATATGAACAAGAATGCGTGCAAGCACCTTGCTGGAGTTGTGGAGGACTATAAGAAGTTCAATAAAGATTTTCAGAACTGTATTATATAAAGATGGACAGTTGATGCAAAAGTAGTTCATATAAAGAGCAATTCTGAGACACATGAAGATCCCAAAACAAAGCTATCAAAACAGAGAAAGGAGTTATGCAGAATGTATATTCATTTAGCTACTCGAGCGGCAGAATCTGATGAAACATACTTTATGGCTGTGAATAATGCAGAGAAATTAGCAGAAGATGTGGAGAAAAGCCTAAAAATTAAAGCTGATTCAGATGTCGGTACCTTATCTCACCCACAAGGTTCACACTCCGGTATAGCCTGAGTAATAATTGCGTGAACACCATACATATGACACCAAAATCTAATTATTATCTATTTTGTAGCTACACAAGAAGAAGACCAAGCTATCAAACCAAAAGGCTTGAAGGTTAAGGAGAAGGAAATTCATGGATCTAAGAGACCAATTGGTGGTCGAGAAGGCAACACGGCAGAAAAAAAAACCAAGAATGACCCAATGGCTTCTGGTTCTGCAACAGAAGCAAACACACGATGGAAAAAGAAAGGCAAGAATGACCCAAAGGCTTATGGTCCTGCAGTGGAAGTAGATAATGTAACATATGAGCAACCACACTACATCGACTGGTACGAGATTTCAGTTATATTTAAGGCAACGTATCAGGTGCAAACCAACCAGCCTGTGCAAACTTGGAAACTACCAATCAGGACCACTAGATGCTGATCAATAGATGGGGTGAGAGGTGGGATTTTTTTACGCTCACGCCCCCCACCCGCTGGCCTTTTTTTTTTTTTGCGCTTAAGCCCCCTCACCCCATCCATTGGATCAGCATCTAGTGGTCCTGATCGGTAGTTTCAAGTTTGCACAGATTTGGTTGGTTTGCACTTGATATGTTGCCTATATTTAATACTATCAAGACTACTCAGATCTTCATTACTGATATTAGTATTCCTTTTCTTTGGTACAGGGCCATTTAGGGAGTAGTATGTACCAAAATCAAATACAGATACCAGGCTACTATCCGGGCTACTATCCACATGGAAATGCTTTTGTGCCTCCGCCTTTCAGTTCATTCTTTGGGACCCCAAACCATGGTCAAGATACACAACAAGGAAATGTTACTCAGTCATTCAATACAAATCCCTATAATGTGTTTGCCAATTTTAAGTGAAGGTCTCATCCCCTTAGGAGAACGGATGAGTTCTGTGCACTTTCCATGGAATCTTATGTATGGAACAGTTTATCATAGCAAGGATATAGGCTCTCATGCTTTGTTAATTCAGTAATTTCAATGTTATCCAGACCGCAATTTTTGTTTTTCTGTGATGTGGGGCAAATTTTAGAGAAACAGGTATTCCGATTTGTTTTTTTTAGCTAACTGATATAGTTGATTTGATAGCATCAGACTGAAAGCGGAAGAGTGCATCTTTATCAAGAAAAAATAGGGACTAGCACTAGACAACTAACCTTACAAAAAATTGCTGGGGAAGAGAAAGTCTTGATACCATATTCCGCCAAGAGAGGTCCTGAAAGCTAGACCGTCACCTTCATGCTCAACAGCATCTACGAGCTACTGCCAACTATCTTGAATACGCAACTGAGTCAATGCAAAATGACATCTCCCAGCTCGTTGTTCCACCATGGTGTGATGTCAGCTCGATGGGCCTGAACAGGAAAGGCAGAATGGACCTCACAAATCGAAATCCGCAAACTCGAATCGAGATCCCCAATCCAAAATCGAGATCCAAGCAATCCAAATCAAAATGCGCAGCTACAATCTAGGTTCCAGTAAATCTAATCAACTCACCGCTATGAAGCTTGAGGTCGTTGCTGCCCCAATCGAGTTTATCACCATGGGATTTGACGTTTCCTTCGATTCAATCTCACGCCATACGCGAGCAGACCAGCTTCGAGCTGAAAGGCCGAGAGGGGAAAGCGGAGGGAGACGAACTAGCGGACGGCTCCGTTTTCTCCAGTCGTTCGTCGTGGACGGAGAAAATTAGCGAGGGCCCATCTCTGGAGGGAACGAATGGATGGCCTCCACGTGTATGGAGATACGGAAGGGGACACGCAACGGAGACACAAGCTTCAGCCGGTGCTAGCATCACGCATGCGCCGTGACCATCCTGACTAGCTCCGTTTCACATGCCCGTATGCACACAACAGAGCACCACCACCAGCAGACGCGTGATGCGGTGACCCACGGCGGCATGGTGACCTACGACGGCACAATAGCAACAACACGTGCTTCCCCGATATCTATTTTTAAACCTCTAAATAAAACACTTGTAACATACGTTTAAAACAGACGAAACATTTAAAACATACGTGTATAGCCATAGCAATATGTGCAACACCAAATCTACTTTTGAAACATTCATATGCAACACTTGCAACATATAAAAGAAGACAGATGACACATTTGCAAAAAATACCTGAAAAAACACTTGAAACCATAGCAAAACATATGCAACATCCAGATAAAATACTTGCAACATATATGTGAAACATATGCAACATCCAGATAAACACACTTGCAACATGCGTCTGAAAAATTGATAAAACATTGAAAACAGACGCTTGCAATATACGTGTACAAACCATTGCAACAAATGCAACACCCTGATTTACTTTGGCAATATCCGTATGAAACACATGCAATATACTTTGAAATATCTGAAACATTTGAAATGTACACTTGCAACATGCGCTTTTAGCACAACATCTCTTTGCTGCTTGGGATAAATGGAGGTTCGTCGGCGTGTGAAGTTTATCAGTCTAGAGCTCGCCGGTGGCACGGAGCGATCGGACAGGGGGGCCAAAGCCGTTGAGCACAGCGGCCGGAACGGAGCTGCCCTCCATTTTTTTGAGCCCGGCGATGGAGCTTTGCGTTGTCGGCAGACTGGCCAAGGGACAGTGCACCTTTGGAGCGGACTGGGTAGGGGGCAATTGCGGGCCGACCAAGGGGCGTGATGGGGCGGTGGCCGGAGCGGAGTCGTCCTCCGTTTCTTCGAGCCCGGCGATGGAGCTTCGCGTCATCGGTGGACCGGCTAGGGGACATTGCAGCCTTGACGCGGACCGGGCATGAGGCAGCTGCAGACCGCCCAGGGGAGCGCGATGGGGCGGCGGCTAGCCACGGGGCACCGTGGATTACGGACTCCGGGGGGCGCTGGCGAGGCTGGCGTCGAGGAATCCCACGACGCTCGTGGCCGTATGGTATACTTAATAGTATATAACAAAATACAACATTTTTTTCATCCAACTTTGTATATGCACTAAGGTTCCTCAATTTATGCTTGCATTTTGTTGTGGTATGTCCTTTGAATTGTAAAATTATAGCTTGAATCCATTCCATATGTCGTGTATATCTCGTATATAGCCTTTCTCAGAGTTTTTGCGTTAGCTCTTGCAATTCTATCTACGTCATGTGTCCAAAATGTTGTGTTGGTCGGTCTAACAAGACTGTTACGAAGCTCGTTAAGGTGACCACCGACTTTATGACCAAAAATCTACGAGGAAAAAAAATCAACTCTAAACATCAATCAAGGTTCCTAATAATAACTTCATATATAGACAAATAAACCCCACTTCACGTGAGCTCATTGAAAGCAGCTTTGCTTTGAGGTTGTAGCGTCATCATGACAACTTGGGAATTATTGGCTTAGCAAAGCTGTCTTCCTAGTATTCCCTTTTTTCTCACTCTATCCACATATTATATGTTGTTGGCACTCTTTTGTACCACCATCATGATGATTTTTCCTTCTAATAAGAGTCTGCTTGACATGGCTCCGACTCTCTTGTAATAGTACGGAGGAGCCGTACTAAATACAGAGGAGGAATCGTTTTCTAGTAAACAGTGAAGGAGATGGTGCTATTTTGAGATTAGGAGCCGCAAAAAGTGGTTCCTCCTCAAATGCTCCAGCTCCTCCGAAGGAGCACTTGAGTCGGTCTACATATCATGAAGAACAAACGGTTTCCAAAAGTGATTAGGGTTCCTATTAATGAGTCAAAGACAGTAGGTTCATTAAAGAGAAAAACAAACGGTTTCCATGACTCATTGGTGGTAAAATTTGTACAACAAAATAATGGAAATTCGTGGAAGCACATTATCGTTCACGTTAATCAGTTGTTCCGATTTGTACTTATTGGTGGGCCCGCTCACCTCCACAACTCCATTGGGCCTGAGCCTGACTGCACCCGCTCGCCCATTTCCTTCCACTGTCTCCAAACCCTAAACAACCCAAACACGATACCCATTCAATAGTATAAGTCACCTACAGTGAAAGGATCACGGACCCAAATCTCGCCTTCTCCAACAGACCCTGACCCCGAAGTCTTCCAGGCACAAGTTCACTCGGTAAAAAAAATCTTACCAGCCACCCCCTCCTCCTCGCAAAAAAGAAGCCGCTCGGTCTCTCTCTCGGTCTTCCCAGGCGGCGGTGGGCGTGGCGACGGCGCACCACCGTGGGTGGCGCGGCGGCGGCCCCTTCCCCCTCCGCCTCCTTCCTCCCTCTCTCTCTGCTCTCGACCTCCTCTCTCTCTCTCTCCACGCGGCGGCGCATCTAGGCGGATAGGACGAGGCGGCAACGCACCGGCTGGCCAGGCCGGCCAACGGCGCGAGCGGCCCGGCGGTGCCTCTCTCTCTTCCTCTCCCTCTCCCTCTCTCCAGATCTGCGGCCGCATCGGTCGGCCTCCGGCACACCGGCGTGGCCAGGCCCCGGCGGTGGGCGCAGCCGCCTCCCCTCCCCCCGCTGCGCGTATCTCTCTCTCTCGCGCCTTTGCTTTCGGGGTGGCGGTGCGCCGCCAGGCCGCGAGCGTCGGCGGATCCTCGCTGCGTGTGCGTGGCGCACCAGCATGAGCGCGCCCGGGGTCCATGCCTCCGACACGGCGCCAGCGGCGAAGCGGGCACCGCCGGTGGCCGCGGCTCCCCCGAGCCTCCCTTCCTATCGTCGTTCGCTGTGTTTTGCGTCGTTGAAAGAGACGACGTTTTTTTGCCTTCTGACTCGCCTGCTACGCAAAATGACTGTCTTGTTTACGTCCTCTGGTGGAGCGTGTTTTTGGGACGCAAAACACGGTGCACGACGTATTTTGTGTTTGGGTCGTCCTTTGCCTGCGGTGTTGGAGACAGTCTCTTCGTCCCTGCCTCCTCGCCGCTGCTGCCTGCCGTGGGCAGGCTTCGGCGTCGTCGTCCCCGGCTGGCCGGCTCTCCGCGGGCGCTGCCACCAACGGCCGCTGCGTTGGTATGCCATGGTACGCCCCGCATTCCCCGTATCCCTCTTGATGTTTTGAACCCTCTGTTTCGTTTGCTTTGCTTTCTAGTGCTTGTAATTGCGGTTTGGTTTTTGCCAATTGCCATGATACGGCGCTTGCCGTCGTGGTCGACGCTGCTGCCGGTGCCGTCCGATGTGCTATGCCGTGCTCTGTGCTCCCGGTTCCGGCGGTTGGATTGGGGTTCCTATCTGCGGTCTAATTCGAGGGCAGTACTCGCCCGTGTTAGTCCAAGAATTTGGGGGCACATGGCACTTGGGCAGAGCTTTATTTTTGAATCTGTTCTCCCAATGTGTACGATGTACCACTACCACTGCAGCATATGTATGAGAAGCCGCATTAAGCTACAAGTTTCCAGCCTAGCATGCACACAGCTATTATCCTTGCAAATTTAGCACTGCAGAAATTAATATGTCCAGCTCAAGAACAACTTCAGACCAGTCTTGATCTGTTGAACACAAGCTTTCAGGTCAAAGGGTTCTTCTTCGTCTTCGTCGATCACCCACCTGAACATATGTGCCATCCACAGATGCAGCAGGAAAAACAAATCGCAAGGCATCGCCAGGAGGAGGCAGTTGGAATCACAGCAAGCATCTGGCTGACCTGTTTTTCTAGACTGCAGCAAAATTTATCACAGATGCTGCATGCGCGAATCCCATCTTTGGCAGCTTCCCGAGAACTGAAGATTGGTCGGCGCGCGCCGAGGCGGTTGTGACCTAGCTAGCAGTCTAGCACGATCATGCGAGAAAGATTGGCAGCATATCAAAGGATCCATCATGTGCAGCGCTCATGTGAAGCTTCTTGGAGGAAGGATTCAGGAGCCTAGTTTAGTGGCCACCCATGGGCAAGGCAAAAGGGGGCAAGGGGGCTTTGTTTATGGGCATTTCACCATGTGAGGCTTAG